ATATAATAAATACTATGTATTTTCTTTGCTTCCTTGTTGGTTTTCTTTCATTCTTTACTGTGCACTTTTAAAGCTGTTGCCCTGCCCTCGCCCCAGGCCCCACCCTACCCCTACCCCTTACTCTTTAGCCAAAAACTATTTTTTTTCCCAGGGCTCCTTCTTCCTTTCTACCTCCAATTTCCTGCCATAAGACCCCTTTTCTTATTTATTTTAACATTAAAGTTCCTTTTCTTTTTAAGGAAAACTTCATTCCCCCCAATAAGTGAGGGCATTGAGAAGTATTTTATTGAACTCCTAAACCTTCTCTTTTTAGAAGATGATCAACCTACACTTATTCATTGTCATTTTTATATGTTAGTGAGAATCAGATTCAGTATATAAGATCCAGATTCTTCTACTTTTTGAAGGATGAAATTATCACTAAGATAATTGTTGCTGTCATGTCCTTCAGGTTCTTCTCTTCTCTGGGATAATCATTCCCATTTCCTTCAGCTGGTCCTCAAATGTCATGGGATCAAAGCCCTATTGCATCTTGGTTACCTTTCTTTGGATGGTCTCCAGCATATTGAGACAAGTCAAGATGTTATTACCTTCTCTTAATTTGGGAGAGAGAGAGAGACAGAGAGAGAGAGAGGGACAGAGACAGAGACAGAGAGAGAGACAGACAGAGAGAGGCGCCTCTAGTACATGTGTAGGTAAATGGAATCTCTTATCATTATGTTATACTTCTGGTGAGGCTTATAAAGTGTTTCTTGATCACCTCATATATTAATTCTTTCTACCCAAGTCTGTAGCATACTCAATGATAAAATCACTTATATTTTTCTTTTCATTGACCTTTACCTAAATACTCTTCACCATGTTTTCTCTTTTCTGTTCCTGGATTTCCTCATATTACTAAACCTTTTTAATATAAAATGTTACTGCACCACCTCCTTTGGCATCCTATTTCTTTTGAATAGGGGGTTCCCATCCAGAGACACATTACTATTATAGGTCTGATCTCACTAAGTCTCGGTGTAGCAATAAGGTCTAATTTCTCTCCTTGTATTTTGGCTCTTAGTTATTCTTGTTAGTTACCTAAACTACAGCATTGGGTGTTGAGGTCATGAGTTTTATTAGGGTTTCCTTTTTGGAATTTTGCCTACTTTTAACTTATGAGTGTATCAGCTGTGATTATTCTTTCATTGTCGCTTGTCTTTCTAGTAGCCGGCTTGGTGGATATACATAAGCGGTTTTATCTTCTTCTTTCATCCCTTTTCATTTAAAGTCCTTTTTGATCAGGTTTGCAGGACACCTGGCAAATACATTTTTATGAATCTTTGTTAGGTGTACTCTAATCCTCAGGAGGAGTCTGTCATCATTATACTTTAAGCTATGTTCCAAAAGGCCAAATTCTATTCTTAGGTACCATCTTCTTAGCCAGTGCTTGCTTCCCAAATCAAATTTTCTCTTCTGTTTCTGTTGCCATCAACAAACAGCAGTGACAGAAACACAACCTGTGCCCCATGGCCCTTGGTTTCTTGCTCAAGAATTTATAATTAGTGGTAATACTTTTTAGATTTCTTCTGGCAATGTGGTTTGTGCTCATGTGAATTGCTAGAGGTCAGTTGTAGTCATCGATTTTGGTAAGTCTTGGTAAGTTCTCTTCTATTTCTTGAGTGCATGATCCAGAAAGATAACAGACATCTCTTTTGTTATCAGGTCAGCAAGAGCTTTCTCAAAACCCCTCAGCAGGAATTCATTCCACTGCTACTCTCTGCTTCTTCCTTTGATCCTTACAGGATTATATATTACTTCAGAACTTCAATGACTATTAAACTTAGCTACTATACCTTACCTAAAGATCCCTGTAGGTTACATATTGACTTAGAAAATCACACATGTTTATATATTTCCTTTTTTATCAATACATTAAAATTAGATAGGAACTACCTTTTGATCAAGTTCAAGCTTTACTTTTTAGAATGTTATGGGCTGCATGTGGCCCACTGGCTGCATATTTGACACCCTTTCCTTAAAGGACAAATATTTGTTTCTTCCTCAGCACCAAACCTTTTCCTCTTCAGAGAGGTCCTCATTTTTTTTTTTTTGGGTTTTAAGCATGCCGTTATCCTTTTCCTTCCCTTCCTCTTCTGTGTGACACTCTTCCACTTTCTATCCTCTTGACAAGACACACATTTTCCCTCTTCCGCACAAAGAGGAAGTTCTATTTTCATTTCTTTATGAGAATATTTTATTGAACCCAACAACTTGAAATGCAGAAAGGCATTCCTTAAGTCCTTCATTTCACTTCTAGGAGGGAGAGAAGTCTGTTAGTGGAACAAAGATAGTGGTTCCATGGCAGAAATACAAATATTACTCAGTGCAAGTGAGGGCATGAATTAAATTAAGTATGCTTTCCATGCTGATTGATAATTTTCATTTTTTTTAAACTGTCTACTTGGTTACACTTGGTTGTTTACTCATCACCCTTAAGCACCTCTTGAAATATGTTGTAGTCAATTATTATCTCTTAATTGCTTGACAATTACCTTCCAAATCCTCCAATAACAAGTTCCATTTTATCACCTATATCAATCTACTCTGTCAATTCACTTCACCTTCCATTTTGTCCTACTTACCTTTTCTTATATTCCTTGCCTTGCCATCTGCTATATTCTCTTTCTCCTTCAATTCTAATCCTTGAGTCCATCTCTTCAGGTGCTTGAATTCCTCAGTAATTCCTTAATCTTTAGTCCTCCTTAATCTTGTTCCTTTCCCTTCAACCTTTCTCACAGAAGCCAGAAGAAGAATATGATTTTAAAATTCTTTTCCTTCAAATGTTCCTTACTTTCTCCCAAATTCCCTTTCCTCACATTCAGTCTCTAGCCTTATTCATAATACCATCCCTCCAAATTGCGTAAATAATTTCCTTCTTTTTAATTATTCAGATCAAATCCTTTTTTCTTCTTCTACTCATTCTTCAACCTAGAAATATAATTTTTTCCTTATTCTTCCCTGTCTTACCTTTCACTTTAAGCTTATAGTATTTTCAAGTCTCCCCTCCTCCCCTGCCCCACCTCCCAATAGATTCAATTTATTTGAACAAGTATTTCCTGAACATCCGTTAAAAAAAAAAGATCATATCAGAATTGAGAAATATTTTGGAATCTTTCTTGTGAATGAGTAAATTGACTTATACTTGATTCAATTTTAAATCTGTGATCCATTATCAATGGAGGATCAAAAACATGGAAACTTTTCAAAGATGAATGATGAACTGAAATCTAGAAAAAAGTTAGGTGGATAGCACATTTTAATAATATTTTATTTTTACCTAATTACATGTAACAACAATTTTCAGCATTTTTTAAAGTTTTGAGTTCCAAATTCTATCCTTTCCTCCCTTTCTTCCCCCCTCCCTGAGATGAAAAGCAACCTGATATACATTATACATGTGTTATCATGTAAAAACATTTCCATATTAGTAATTTTGTGCAAGAAGACTCTAACAAGAAAGAAAAAAAACAAGAAAGAAAGAAAGAAAAATAATATGCTTCAATCTGTATTCAGACACCATCAGTTCTTTCTCTGGAGATGGATAGCTTTTTTCATCATAAGTCCTTTGGATTGTCTTGGATCATTGTATTGTTGAGAATAGCTAAGTCATTCATAATTCTTCATCATATGATATAGCTATTATTATGCACAATGTTCTCCTGGTTCTGCTCACTTCACTTTGTATCAGTTCATGTAAGTCTTAACAGGTTTTTATTTCTGAAATCATCCTACTTGTCATTTCTCATAGCACAATAATATTCCATCACAATCACATCCCACAGCTTGTTCAGTCAATCCCCAGTTGATGGACATTCTCTCAATTTCCAATTCTTAGTGTAGACGAAAAACATATTAGAAGTGCCAATCCCTGTTTCCTAGCTTTAATACAACTGCTTAAATTAGAAGGGCATTTATCATGCCCATTGAGGGTGAACTTGGATAAAGATTCTGTGAAAAAATCTAGTCAAAATTCAAGTAGAAATCATAAAAATAACATGTGAAAATCATTCTTGCTTCCTGAGGTACCAATAATTCTGCATAGCTTCTCAAATATTATTCTTATCGTTTTGCCCTTTTAGGCTCCCTATTCTAAAAACCAACCAATCAACATTTCCCTCTTCCCCATTGTATTTCAAATGTAATTTAAAAAATGGATTGTCTGCCTATTTGTTGATAGCACATATTGTTCTGCAAAAGTGGGTCAGGCTGGAAAAAAAAAAAGAAACCAAAACCCCACAGCAGACTGGTTTCATTGTAGCAATTAACTGGATGAAGAAGCTGCCTTTGAACATTTTCCTCTTCCCACTAATAGCACCATAGGAACAAATGGAGTCCCTGAGAGGCTGGTGCTCCATCTATCAATACATTTGCAGCAGGCTTGTTCTGATAAAATTAGTGGTAAATGAGGTTTGCTGTCTACTATTAATTTCCTCCAGATTTTTTTCCTTCTTAGAAATTTCACTTCTATGTGAATAATAATTAAAAACCAAAGATACTTGTGCAATTCAGGGATAACACGGAATACCCCCAGTTAGATTAAGCATTTGGCTGTATACATTTGGTTTCATAACATTCTCAGTTAATTGGGCAGAATTGATTTGTTTTGTAGAACTAATGTTCCAGTTGCCTAGGGATTAAATTGTTGTAAATCAGTAATGACATTTTAGTGTTGGCTTTCTGATAGAACATGCTTTATCCAGTTCTTCCACTATGTTAGCAATAAAATTTAATTATTAAGTAAAAGGAAGCCAGTTTCTTCAGGAACCCTTGCTATAGGGGTTACAAGCTCTGGACTACAATAGCCCCCATGGCTTTTGACAGAGGGGTATAAAATGATATAATAAAACTGATGAGTATGATAGAGAGATGCAAATGTTTCCTGTTCAGCCCCGTTATGTGACTAGTTGTATGGATTGGAATGGAATTTTTCTCCAATAAAGCCTTTTCTTTTCTTGCAGATTGTTCACAGAACTCTGGCGGCAATGTTGGGCTCCCTTGCTGCCTTAGCGGCATTAGCTGTTATTGGTGATGTAAGTTGTGACATTTCAAATGCTTAGCTCATGTCTTGGTAAGATGTTATGCTTAGAGCTTTTAGGAAGCTCCAATTCAGTTTTAGGTAAAATTTCTCCTTCTTCCTCCTGTCATTTCTGCAGCTTTCTCTAGTCAATAGACTAACACGGCCCTTTGATAGGCTGGTGATCTTGGGAGATGGTGGGAATTGTTTCCTAAAGCATTACACAAAGTTGGGTTTCTTTTTGATTAAACTTAAATAAGAAGTATATGTAGAGAATAAATTGGTTTCCATGAACCTAGATGTAGAGCTGGAAGAAACCTCAGAGCCCATCTAGTCCAGCCTTTTCATTTTACAGATGAGGCCATGGAGGGCCAGTAGGCTTAAGTGAATTGTCCAACATCACACAGGTAGTAAACAGTAGAGGCATAGAATGGATGTCTTTTCAATCCATATATTTGCCAAAATGTTCACATGACTAAGTTCAGTCAAACCATCTGTGTATTGCTAGTTTTCAAAATATCTAATAGTTTGGCTCAATTAAATCAGTTACCAACAATAGGTAGTTACCAGAAGAGATCAAAGAAATATTTGACAGCAATTGTATTACACCAGGAACTGAGTTCATGGACAATCTTGCTAAATGCCTTCGATATTACATTGCTGATTGTTTAAATAATGACCCTGGATGGAAAAATTTGACAGTTATTTTATCTGATGCTAGTGCTCCTCATGAAAGAGGACATAAAATCATGGATTATATTAGAAGACAAAGAGCTCAACCTAACCATGACCCAATCAACATTGCTTATGTAGAACAGATGCTGATCTCATTATGCTTGTACTTGCCACACATGAGCCAAATTTTATAATTATTAGGGAAGAATTCAAACCCAACAAACCAAAACCATGTGATCTTTGTAATCAGCTCGGGCATGAAGTCAAGGACTACCAGGGTTTGCCAAGGGAAAAACAGGGAGAGCATGATCAGTTTGAAGAAAGTCTTACTGCTTCAGAAGGGAAGTTTATCTACATTCAGCTAAATGTGCTTCGTGAGTATTTAGAAAGAGAATTAACTATGGCCGGCCTGCCATTTACTTTTTTTTTTTTTTTTCCGGTGAGGCAATTGGGGTTAAGTGACTTGCCCAGGGTCACACAACTAATAAGTGTCAAGTCTTTGGTCTGAGGCCACATTTAAACTCAGGTCCTCCTGACTCCAGGGCTGGTGCTTTATCCACTGTGCCACTAGCTGCCCCGTCATTTACTTTTGATGTTGAGAGGAGCATGGATGACTGGGTTTTTATGTGTTTCTTTGGGGGAAATGACCTCCTTCCACATTTGCTACCTTTGGAGATTACAGAAGGAGCAACTGACTGTTTAATTAATATATACAAAAATGTGCTACATAAAACAGGGGGTTACCTCTATGTGTAACACAATAACAGGGTAGGACTTAGCATCTAAAGTGAAGGAGATGAAACACAGAATCCTATATGTAGGGTTAGAAGATATCCCAGAAGTCATTTAGTCCAACCTCCTAATTTTACAGATAAGGAAACTGAGGTTCATGAGGTTAGGTGACTGGGAACTAAGTCAGACTTTTAAATAATAACTGTTTATTAGTAATTATTTATTCAGTTAATTTGATCAATAGAGTTAGCCAAGCAGTTGGATTCCTTTTTGCTTCATATTTTTTTATTGAAAGACAAATAATACCAAAATATCTAATAAACAGGGCATAATAGTCAGTGAACATAAATTTCCAGCAGTCATGTTTTTCTGTTGTATAATCATTAACCATATAGAAAACAAAAATAACAAGCAAAAGTGAATGATCTCTAATTTTAATTCATCAGAAAGTTTTCTGTTTTTATCTATTCCGTTATCTTTATATGCTTTTGCTGAATGGGTGGCATCACACCTGAATTTCATGTTTATGTTTAGATATTTTAGTTATGTTTTTATATGAATGTGAGGGACAGCAAAAAAGCTAGTTTGGCCAGATCATAAAATGCAGGAAAAGTAGTAATGTGTAACAAGATTGGAAAGATAGATTGGAACCAGGTCGTGAACATGCCAAACAGAGGAAATTTTGTTTTATTTTGCCAGCAACAGCAGAGGCTCTCTCTCTCTCTCTCTCTCTCTCTCTCTCTCTCTCTCTCTCTCTCTCTCTCCCTCCCTCCCTC